ACTAGCCGCCCAACTGCGAGCAAATGGGGAGGTCGCCCAGTTCGCACCTCCGAGACGAGCGGGGCTGGGCCGGGCGGCAGGAGGAGGAGCGCGCAAGCAAGGGCTTGCCAAGTTCCGGGCTGCGCCGGGCTGCTGTCGCCGACTGACGAACGCTGGAGACAATGTGCCCAAGAGTTTCAGGGGCGGGAGCTGACACCCAGCGACCCAAGCTCTCCCGTTCTGCCATGGCTTAGCCCGTCAGAAGCCGGCCCTAGGTCTCAAGGGAGTCAGTGCACCAAGTCACTGCCGGAGCCCTGCATGTTAGACAGAAAATCCTTTCAGATGACGCGTGAGAGAAATTTCGGGCCAGTCTGGAATTGCAGGGAAAGCACCCAGAACCGGGCGGGGCGTTTCAGAGCTACCTAGGTTGCACTGACATTGTTGATGCCACTCCTTAGGAGTTGTTTGCACATTAAAACCAGTTGTTATCTATGAATAGGCAAGGCAGTTTGTTATATAATAGCGACATAGGAAATAGTAGACGTTATTCTGTTTTAATGAGTGACTGCAAGCTAGGTGATGTGTTACCACCACAGCAGTATTCAAAATGAGAGCCGATCTTTACCTCAACTTATTTTCTGGTTGTAACTACTTGGAAACATACCCAGAATACTGAAAGGTCCAATGCCTCGGCAATCCAACAGTTAAAGCAATGTACCCCGAAGTCAAGGGTTTTACAGGGCAACCTCAGCACCTGTCTCACTTAAAGGTGAGCATCAAACATCTAGACTGCAAAAAGCTGTTCTCCATCACATTGAAGAGCTCTGGCCCAGGGTGAGTCGCAGCACATGGGAAAGGGGGTAAAGCCTGTGTGCTCTGTGCCAGAGCCGCCCCACCCCCTCCTTCTTCTGTCTGTTCTGCCCAGCAGCAACTGGACACTCAAGAGCCCAGGGTAGCCAAGGAAACTTGGGTGGCGGAAGCATTTCTCATTAGAGTGGTGGGGGAGTTGGCATGGGCCCCACAACCACCACAGGCATCTCCACCACACCACATATCCTGCTATTCCAATGCAGCCAGCTTCCAGAGAGCTGTTCCATTCACAGGAGCCTCCTGCCCCTGCCAGGGCACCAAAGGCAGGGAATTCCACTAGGCACTCACCTCTGAGCTCAGGCCACTCCAACATGGGGCAGCTTAGCTCCCAGGACACTTTTCAGTGTCCTGAAAGCTTTCAGTGTCAGCAGGCTTCTGTTGTTTCATTTCAGCTTCTAGTTCCCAGGTAATTGTGGGGATACATATGTACGCAGTGGCCACACACTGAAAGCTAGGAGGAAAGAGTCAGAAGCTATTTTTTTCTATAGGACAGCTGGGGAGGACAACTTTAGAGGAAACCCAGCCAACAGCTGGATGCCCAGATGTCCTGAACACCAGTGAAAACGTGCAATGTCTGGACTCCACTGCTTCCTTCGAGCTCAGGTTCCTAGGCTGCAGGGGGTCAGAAGCAATGGCGTTTGGGCTGAAGGTCAGAGGTGGGGGTGACAGGGCAGTCTCCTAATTTTAAGAGCTGACATAAACTGATATAAGTCTGTGCCAAGCACTCCTTGTCCATTTTACTGGAAGACTGGGGTTTCCAGAAGCTCCAAAATGCAATGAGAGACAGGACAAGACAGCACCAGGTGAGAGTCTGAAGCCAGACTGAACTATTACACTAAGGACAAGAACGTTTACAGAACTTGCAGAGACTAGCATTTACCAGGCTGACAGCTAAGGTGGGCCAGATGAGGAACTGGTATGTTCCACGTCATCTCAGCATCTTGCTCTGGCCCAGTAGCTTGAACCCTGGGATGCTGCAAGCATTCCTGTCCCCCAAGAGTCCAGGAGTGGAAGCAGGAAGCTCCAGTGCAAGATGACCTCAGGGAAGGGACTCTACTCCTGTACCTCATGTGGGCTGCCCTAGCAGAAGGAGCTTGTTGACTTCTGACAGGTCTCTTCAGAATCTTCTCGCATGGAGAACAGCATCTACACATGAGCAGCACTTGTCCACCAGTGCGCCTCCCTCTGCCTTTTACAGTCAGGAAGAGTAGAGCACCTGGAAGGAGCCATGGGGGCATCTATTGCTGACTCAGTCACCACACTGACTGTTATGGAATCCGTTACACATTGCATTTGGTGGGCGTGGATGGCAGGTGGCAGTTGGAGCAAGGAAGATCAAACTTGACTTTCAAATAGGAGATGCAAGGGCTGGCAAAATGGCTCAGCTGATAAAGGCACTTGCCACCAAGTTTGATAACCTGGATTCGGTCCCTGGAACTGACTCCTGTAAGTTGTTCTCTGAGGTCTCCATAGGCACTGTGGTCGGGACACAGGCAAACACTTGCAAAAGTAAATAAATTTCTAAAACAACTTAAAGTAGTAAAAAGCAAAAAAGTGGGGGGAGGGTTGCATTGAAGTGATTAGTGGACAAGTACACTTTTTTTGTTGTTTGTTTTGAGACAGGGTTTCTTTGTGGCTTTGAAGGCTGTCCTGGAACTAGCTCTTGTAGACCAGGCTGGTCTCGAACTCAGAGATCCACCTACCTCTGCCTCCTGAGTGCTGGGATTAAAGGCGTGCGCCACCAACGCCCGGCGACAATTACACTTTTTATATAATTTTACAAACATGCAAATTTACCTGGGATTTCATATAATGGAGAGTGGGGGAGACGCCCAACCTTGTCAAATCTTATACACACACACACACACACACACACACACACACACAGACACCGAAGTAAAAAGGACTGACAATGCTTCCCACACGTGGTGTCTGAATGAAAATGCCCCCCATAGTCTCATATATTTGAATACTTGGTCTCTAGCTACAGGCTGTTTGGGGAGGGTCTGGGGGTATGGTTTTATTGGAGGATGTCACTGGGTGGGAACCTTGAGATTTCAAAAGACTCACATAATTTCTGAGTTAGTGTCCTCTGCCCCATCCTGTGGCTTGAGATGTGAGCTCTCAGCTGTTCCTGCTGCCATGCTTTGGCTCTGCCATCATAAACAACAACTTTCTGGAACCTTCTGCAACCATGGACTTTCATTTCTAAGTTGCTTCAATCATGGTGCTTCATCACAGCAACAGAAAAGTAACCCATACCCTCACTGAACTTGAGCCAGATAGATGATAAAAAAAAAAGCTCAAGTCAGCAAACCCAAACACACATGTTTGGCCGTCTAGGCTTTCTGTCATTTCATCTTAACATTAAATTAACTTGCTTCCAGATTTCAAATATAATAATACTTACCACAACCTTAAAAGATTTTCAGAATGAGTAAAATGATTACGTCCAGGCCCCACTGCCATGGCTGGTGGCTCTCAAAGGTGTGAACTGCTGGAAGAAAGGCCACCACAGCTGTGGTGACAGTCCAGTCCCCAGATGAACCACAGATGTGCACATACCTGCCAGGCCACTTGCTTACAACTCCACAAGGAGTCACCGGGGGGGGGGGGGGGAAGCTGGGCAGTAGTCAGACGGCAATACCAGAAGTAAGACCATGACTCTAAGAATCGTTTCCTTATTCTTGAAATTTCTTGGCTTTACCAAGGATCACACCCTACTTACATGTACATCTGGAAAAACTTCAGAACACCCTAGTTCATTGCTTTCCTAGCTGTCCCATATGCTACGTTTCAATTGTTTTCTTCAGACTTCACTTTTTTCCATGTATGTGTGTATGCACGCTTGCATGTGTGTGGCATACTTCTGTGTGCAGGTATAGGCCAGAGGTTGGCATCAGGCATCATCCTTGGTTGCTCTATACAGAACCTCGAGTTTGCCTACTTGTCTAGTCTATTTACCCAGCTTGCCTCAGCCATCCCGCCTCTAGGAGCAGTGGCTATGTGGGTGCTGGGGAGCCAATCCCCAGTCCTCATGCTTACACAGCAAAGGCTCTATCCACTGAGCCATCTCTCCAGTCACATTTCTGTATTTTAATTTAAATAATTAAACCCACTATAACAATAAGCAGTCAAAAATCTAACCTAAACTAATCCTGAACTTTAAAACAGGAAAAGTGTATTCAACAGCACCACTCTCTGGAAATTTCCACTCACTGTGTTTTATATTAAATTCAACACTAATATTTTCCCCACAGGTTGGGAGTTTAACCTGCCTCCTTAGCCCCAGTTTTAAGTCATTTCCCTGTGGCACTTCAGGAAGCGGGTCTGGGGGAGATGGAGGCACATGGTAACACCATCAGCCCTCAGTGTAGCCAGGAAAACCTAGCACCAGCCTTAGATGCTGTATTCTGGCACTAATATTCCAAATGACCTCACATTGTCCCTGATGGTTTCATACTTTAAGAGCTGTCCTGGCAGTTTTTAGAGGAGAGCAAAGTCTGTGTTTTCTTAGGCCACACCAGTATGGACAAAAACAATGCAGCTTGCAAACAGGGCATAGATGCTTGCCTCTGCCTCACCCTGGGGCTGGTCACTCTCCAGAATCCCACCAGTCCAACTCTTCTGACTGTTGGAAACTGCAGTTGCCACA